AAATCATTGACACAAAATAGTATTTGACTTAATATTTGTTGTTATTATTGTTGTTGCTGCTACGTTAGTGTTACTCATTGAGATAGTCAATGGAAATTTTGATCTTGAGGAAATTTTGTCAATAAGACTTTACACAACCCTAGAACTTTTGAGAGAATCCTCACAGAGTAAATGATAGCAGTTTTCTGAAGGTCTACAATCTTGGTCTCAATTCCAATTTTCTCGAAGCACTCTTTTAATTTTTAGGCGGTGTTCCAAATGCAGCCATTATAGCAGGAATTACTTCAACAGTTATGTTCCATATTAAATCATAATGTTTAATTTAAAGTTAATTTTGAGAAATTAAAAAAAAATTCTATCTAATAAAAATTAAAAAAAGAATTTCTATCTAATAAAAGATTTTTATCAACAATTTTTTCACTACAAACTGATGCTCTGTTATGCTTTTCTAGTCAAAAGAGAAAAATTAATAATGTACTCTTTTTGTTATTTTAGTTTTTATGACACTTTTCCAGCATCAGATTAAAGTTGGATTGAAAAATCTATTTGTGTTTCATCCTGGTCATCAAAATGATTTCAAATGATTTTGTTTTAGTTGCCACACATGGTTTTCATCATTAGTTTATGCTCTCTCTCTCTCTCTCTCTCTCTCTCTCTCTCTCTCACACACACACACACATGCATACACAACCTTGACTAAGCAAGGCTTATAATAAGTTCTGAAAAGAATCACATTATAAAATATTATTTGTCAACAACAATTATAACATGAAATACTTCTGGGGACATTTGATGTAAACCAAGGAGACATGTCCTCTTTTGAAGTGTCTGTTATAATCATTTTAATCAGTTTTTTTAATTTATTTTTTATTCTGTTATCTGATTGAAATTTGTCAAATTTTATACATGCACACTATTTCCTGTAACCTGTACTGTAAAAATTTACCAAAATATTTATATATATCAATACTGCATTATCTCATTTTCCAATTAAGGGGAGCTGTCATACGACAGAATAAAAAATAAAGACGGAGTATATAAAAATACAGAAGTACCAATACCTGGCATGGCAAATCGTATAAATGTACCAAACAGCAACTGAAGTCTTTCTTTTGCTTGTAGCGCACTTGGGACTATCGTTAAGAAACCTTCAGCCTTGAAGATGCCTTGGAGAAACCTAACAAAACTGGAAGTGTGCAGGTGGCTCATATGTTAAGGATAGTATTGTAACTTTAAGCTACAGGAAAAAGAAACCCCTAAGAGTTGGGGCTGATATATGACCATCGTCACACGACTGGAACGTCTAAGAGTAAGATCTGACATATGACCATCATCAGATGGTTGAAACGTTTAAGAGTAGGAGTTGAGATATGACCATCGTCAGACGGGTGAAACGTCTAAGAGTAGAAGCAGAGATATGACCATCGTCACACAGGTGAAACGACTAAGTAGGAGCTGAGATATCATCATCACACGGTTAAAAAGTCTAAGAGTAGAAGATGAAATATGACCATCATCACACGGCAGAAATGATTAAGAGCTGAGATATGACCATCATCACACGACTGAAATGTCTAAGATTAGGAGTTAGGATAAGCCTATCATCATATGGCAGAAACATCTAACAATAGGAGCTGAGATATGACCATGGTAAGATGACTGAAAAGTTTAAGAGTAAGAGCTGAGATATGACCAACGTGATACGGGTGAAACGTCTAAGTACGGGCAGAGATATGAACATCATCACACAGCTGAAAATCTAAGAGTGAGAGCTGAGATACGGCCATCATCACGAGCCTGAAGCATCTAAGATCAAGAGCTGAAATATGACCATCATCACCCGGCAGAAACGTCTAAGAGTGGGAGCTGAGATAGGACCATTATTACACGGCTGAAACGTCCAAAAATAGGACCTATGACCATCGTCACATTACAGAAACTTCTACGAGTAGGGACTGAGATATGAACATCGTCACACGGCTGAAACGTCTAAGTGTAGGAACTGAGATATGGCCATCATTACGCAGCTGAAACTTATGAGAGTAAGAGCAGAGACAGGACCATTGTCACAGGGCCGAAATGTATAAGAGTAAGAAATGTGATATGACCATCAACACAATTGAGATGACTAAGAGTAAGAGCTGGAATATGTCCATAATCAGAGGGATGAAATTTCTAAGAGTAGGAGTTGAGATATGACAATCATCACACGGATGAAACGTCTAAGAGTAGGAACTGAGGTATGGCCATCATCAAATGCCGAAAAAGTCCAAGAGTAAGAACTGAGATATCGTCACATGAGTGAAACGTCTAATAGTATTACTAGATATATGACCATCGTTACATGACTTAAACGACTAAGCGTGGGAACTGAAATATGACCATCCTCACACGGCTGAAGCAGGAGCTGATATATGACCATGGTCACCTGGCTGAAACGTCTAATTGTAGGATGCGATATGAGCAAACCAATACAGCTGAAACGTTTAAGGGTAGGATCATAGATATGATCATTATGAGAAAGCTGAAAAGTCTGAGAATAGGCGCTAAGGTCATCATCACACAGCTGAAACGTATAAGAGTAAGAGCTGAGATATGACCATAGTCATGCAACTAAAACGTTGTAGGAGCTGAGATTTGACCATCATCACGCGAGGGAAAAGTCTAAGTGTAAGAGCTAAAGTATGACCATCAATACACGGCTGAAACGTAAAAAATCTGAAATATGATCATCATCACATGACTGAAACGTCTTAGAATAGGAGCTGAGATATGACCATCATCAGAAGGTTGAAACGTCTAAGACTAGGAGCTGAGATACGACCATAATCACATTACTGAAACGTCTGAGTAGGAGCTGAGATATGACATCACACGGCTGAAGCGTCTGAGAGTAAGAGCTAATATATGATCATCATCACACGGCTGAAACGTCTATGAGAAGGAGCTGAGATATGACCATCATCATATGATTGAGACTGATTTAGAAGTGATATATGGACATCGTCACACGGCTGAAACGACTAAGAGTAGAAGCTGATATATGATAATCTTCACATGATTGAAACGTCTAATAGTAGATAAGATATGACCATTACCACACACGACTGAAATGTGTAAGAGTAGGAGATGAGATATGACCATCACCAGACGCATGAAATGTTTAAGAGTAGAAGCTAAGATAGGACCATCGTCATATGATTGAAACGTCTAAGAGGATGAGCTGAGATATGATCATCATCACATGAATGAAACATATAAGAGTAAGAGCTGAGATATGACGATCATCACGTATTTGAAACATCTAAGAATAGGACCTATGACGATCTTCACGTGATTGAAATCTCTAAGAGTAAGAACTGAGATATGACCATCGTTACACCGCTGAAATGCCTACGAGTAGGAGCTGGAATATGACCATCATCCCACGGGTGAAATGTCTTAGGGTAGCAGCTGAGATGTGACAAACTACACACAGATGAAATGTCTAAGAGTAAGACCTGAGATATGACCATCGTCACACGGCTAAAAATTTTTAAGAGTAGGAGCTGAGATATAACCATCGTAAAACGGCTGCAACGTCTAAGAGTCAGTGAGCATCTAAAAAAATAATATTGGATTGATGATGTCAAAGAGTCATTGAATGTGAAAAAGTAAAGTTTATATGGGTCATGAATATTAAAACGAACAAATCATTGAACAATCATCTCTCCATATCATTGTTTTTTAGAAAAGAATACCATGTTTTTACCTTATTGATGTTGCTTGTTCATTGGATACCCACGAAGTTGAAAAAGTTGGACAGAAAATTTAGAACTATATAGATATAAAGTACAAATTCAAGAGGATATGGAACTGCCAAGATGTAAAGAGTGATCCTATATAAATCGGAGCACTAGGAACAATGTCAGAAATTTTGTCTATTGCTTGAATGTATTAGTTTTATCAGTGAGATTTTTTTTTATTTGTTTCAGAAGGCCCTTTTACTTGACACAGCATGAACGAACAGAAAAATACTGAACACCTAAGGCTGCAAGATGTAGCTTGGTATCTAATAAGTAGAAAACCATCAAATAACATTCAATAATAATAGTGATGATAATGATTATGATGATGAATGAGAGTATTTGTGGAGCATTATGGCGGGGTGTTGGGATTGCGTTTCTTTTTTAAGGATGAGGCAGCTAAGGCGACTTGGGGTCACGTCTTGATACTCGCGAACATTCTTAATCAGAGGCCATCAAAGAAGACTAGGTTATCCAATCTGAAAGTATTTCTAATTGAGCCTAATTTCTAATTATATACTGATGTTATCAAAGCCTATCACTACATCGTGCGCATTGGCAGTGTTGAATGCGCCTCGTATATCTTTATTTGACTGTCATAATGGATACATTAGACTTATTATATTTATACCCCAGCATCACTTTACTGACATTACTCACTCAAAAATAATAATTCTCTGGGGCATGCTAATCCAAACTGATAGTGAAGAACAAGGATGAGACATTTTGTCTGCTCATCAACATGTCTGTCCGCAATGAAAGAAACACCTTGAAAACGACAGAAAAAATGTCCAAATATAAAATTGAGAGAATGGAGGACATGAAGACTACAAAAATATCAGTGTTAATAGGTGTGCTAATCAGTCTAGTCAAGAAAAGAATGGAAAAATTACACTAATAAAATCCTTGACAACATCAAGATACAAGAAGTCCAGAAGATTGTCCGCCTCAGTACTACTCATTAAAGAAGAATTGGCAAACTTGAACCTTCATACCCACAGAAAACGGAGTGTCAAAAGGACGGTTTTCCCTTGACACCACTATTATTTTAACTACCTTCACTCCTTGAGTTATTGTTTTAAAAAGTGACAATTAGAATTGTAATAAAACATAAACATATGATGAAAATAAATTTATACACTTTTTTTTTGTTCTTCATAAATTATAAGAAAAATATTAAACACGTTATTTTGTGCGTTATCCCACTTAACTTTGCTACAAACTTTGCACCAATTTCGCAACTAAGAAATGCCTCGGCACCAATTTCGGAACTGAGAAATGCCTCGGCACCAATTTCGCAGCTGAGAAATGCCTCGGCACCAATTTCGCAGCTGGGAATACCTCGGCACCAATTTCACAACTGAAAAATACCTCGGCACCAATTTCGCAGCTGAGAAATACCTCGGCACCAATTTCGGAACTGAGAAATGCCTCGGCACCAATTTCGCAGCTGAGAAATGCCACGGCACCAATTTCGCAGCTGAGAAATACCTCGGCACCAATTTCGCAACTGAGAAATGCCTCGGCACCAATGTCGCAACTGAGAAATGCCTCGGCACCAATTTCGCAGCTGAGAAATGCCTCGGCACCAATTTCGCAACTGAGAAATACCTCGGCACCAATTTCGCAACTGAGAAATCCCTCGGCACCAATTTCGCAGCTGAGAAATGCCTCGGCACCAATTTCGCAACTGAGAAATGCCTCGGCACCAATTTCGGAACTGAGAAATGCCTCGGCACCAATTTCGCAGCTGAGAAATACCTCGGAACCAATTTCGCAACTGAGAAATGCCTCGGCACCAATTTCGCAACTGGGAAATGCCTCGGCACCAATTTCGCAGCTGAGCAATACCTCGGCACCAATTTCGCAACTGAGAAATGCCTTGGCACCAATTTCGCAGCTGAGAAATCCCTCGGCACCAATTTCGCAGCTGGGAAATACCTCGGCACCAATTTCGCAACTGAGAAATCCCTCGGCACCAATTTCGCAACTGAGAAATTGGGTTATCCTTAAGCCTATTAAAAGGCGTGCATTTCCCTCCCTAGCCTCTTTTAGATTTTTTAAACTCTGTTTATAAGATGTAGCCGAAAGTGGGTAAAGTGTTCATGGTTTTCTCTCTTGACTTTTGTACTCTCACATATATGCTTATTACGCGCGAGCACACACACGCGCGCGCGCACGCACGCACAAGCAGATTCTTATAGGTAGTTTCATGTTTTTTCATTTCGACAGAAATTGTCGTTCTGTTTTATATTTATCGTTTTTGACATTTGCAACAAAAGGGTGACAATGGCATGATCTTTTATCCTGGATAAAAAAAAAACACAGAAAATTATATAAACAAACTCGACTATACAAAAATTTTAGGCACTTTTCAAAATCGAGAGCCAGTGAAGAAAAGTAATTCATCTAACCTCCATTAGATCGCTAAAAAAGAGCATAGCATAATGAAAAAGACGCCAAACTTGACGGAAACAAAATTTTATTGTCTAAATGTTCATGTTATTATTAAGAGGAAAGATCAAAGTATTTTGGGTTGGGATTTTTTTTACATTTTTTAATCGTTCCTAGCAAGTCCGAAATTTTCGTTAAAATCTTTTTTTTTTTTTGAGTCTGCAAAATTGACAGATAATCAATCATAGCATCCACTTTTTCCATTTTATAAAAAAAAAATGAAAATCTCAGTTTGAACTTCTTTTAAAAATCAATTATCATTTTTTCAAAACTTATTTGAAGAAAATCAGAAATTATAATGTTTATTTAAAATATTTTGAACCAAGCTTAACTTAGCTTCTGCGCCGAAAAGATGTAGTTTGAAAATAAAATAAAGCAGGTCATAACCTTTCGTGTCACTTGACAGGTATTGAATGACATATTGACGGATTACGTGAGGATAATTCTTTCTACGGAAGGACAAAATTGAAGTTATTTAGATTTAAGTGAACAAATTATTTATCTCGTTATTTTGAAGGAAAACTTTCAACGATCTAATTTTTTTTTGTACTTAGCTTTCACCTTTATGTTTACGGTGCTTTATGGAAAATATATTATAAAGAAATTAATATAAGACTGTTAAGAGTGAGATTAAAATTAATTAGATACCTTTCTTATGAAATTTTATCAGAAGTGTACATAAAATACTATAATTTTATGTACATTTATTACATTTTACTGTGTTATTTGTATTTCCATTCATTTTATTATTAATTTTGATATTTCATTTATGGAAAAATGTCATAACTGAGATTAATATAAAAATAAGATCATATAAATTTCATAAGATGATACTGATAGTTGTAGGTACCCTTCTCAGTTGAAATTGAAAAATCAAATTAACTTCTCCACACGTGTTTCACAAACGTAAAGGCCTTAAAAGCGGAGAACAATGCTTAAATAACGCAACTTAATTGTATTCTGATTGGTCTTCCGTACTTTATAATTACTGCCCGATTATAAACACAAAATTACATTTCTTAATTACTGCGAATCTTTTGATTAGTCAAAAAAAGTTTACGACGCGCTAAAAAAAGATCTATCTTATAAGGAGACTTACGAAAGCGGATGCGGCTTTTAACTAATTTTATGATATTTTAACAACATAAATGTAAACATCTATTATAATTAAAGAAATAACAAATAATTGTATTAAAAATTCATTTTTCATCGAAAAAATTTTTTGCTTTCAGAAAATATTGTTCATATTCATAAAAACAACTAAAAGCATTTGAAATTAAATAATATCTTTGTTTTATTGAGTTTTGTATGTTACAATTCAGAGCTGATTTTCAGGTGTGGGGGGGTCCAATTTAAAAAAAAACATGATTTGCATTCCTCAAAGATTAAGGAACTAAAGGAGGAGCTAACTCCGACATAACTATTGTAATCACTAAACTGGATTCGATCGAACTTCTAGCGTTTTCATAAAATTAATTATGGGGGCGGTAATAAATATAAAAAAGTATTTCTGCCATGACTTTAATAAAAAGACAAACATATTTATAATAATTTCGATCATCTGTGAATAGTTTCTGAAAGTTTCATTAACATCCGCCAATTATTTTTATTTTTGCAAGATTTTCCAAATTAATGTGTGTCATACAAAAAAAAAAAAAAAAAAAAAAAACGTGCTAAAAATTGTAGATGTTATTTTACTAGTTCCGGTAATACAAAGAACTTCTCTTTTTACCATAGACACCAAAATACAATTTACTCTTACAACAATTTTGTGACTGAACCCGATGTAAAGAGCTATATTGTAAATTTCAAAACTCTAAAGCACATCTACATGACAGAGCAACTGTCTGGATAAGATGGTCTCTAAGCCAGTAAATATCTTCAACGCGTGCGAACGAAAAATTACTGATAGCCATTACAATTACTACGATCTGCAGGCGAACATCATTCTCTTCATTTCCACTGCCTTTGCTTAAATCCTTTCTTTTTTAAGGCCCAATCACGCCTGACTTCTACTACAACCGGCAGACATCCCGTAAAACATTTTCCCCCAAAACGAAAAATACAACTTTTGTCTAAAAGAAGTTTGAAACACAGCTCATTTTCTCCAAGAATGCCGCCCAAATTTCACAAACAAACTTACGCGGACTACACGAGAAAATACCACTATGTGGAATCTTCCACAACAAGCCAGTTAACCCCTGCTAGGAAATGCACTATTCCTGTGTGACTTTCACCATGACCATCTTACAAAATATATAACAAGCATTCATTGGTTAATCTACTTCAAACTAACACGCTGATTGGTCAGTTCCGATCAATCAAACAGCCTGCACGCGACAAATCTGTTTTCCCGCGTTTTCTATCTGAGCCTGTCACGTGGTACAACAAAATTATAAAAACAAAACACGTGTAAACTCTCTCTCTCTCTCTCTCTCTCTCTCTCGCGCGCGCGCGCGTCTTTTTCCTTGCTGCAAAGATGTAATCTTCAGGAACTCCCGTCTTAGCCTTTACGGTCAGACGTTAAAGACCATTACCAACATTCACGCAAGTACGAATTCTGAAATCTCTTCTGAACTTTTACCAACTTGTACAATACATAATTCCAAACATGCTAAAGAAACTTTATTCTTCTAAACTACAGTTTAATAATTATCAGCCTACGAAGAACAGCACAAAAATACGCAAAGTTTATGGACGTATTGGCAGAATCTGGAGGGGAGTGAGTTATCCCACTTGGCTTTTCTTAATGACCGTCGCTAGGTGGGGGGCGCTCTTTAAGCCTATAAAAAGGCATTCATTTCTTCCTCTAAGCGCTTTTACAGCTTTTCAACTATGGTTTTAAAATGTAGTCACACGTGGGTATAGTGCCACCCACTGGGGTACATTTATTTTCATGATTTTCTCTCTCTGCCACACACACACGCACGCACGCACGCACGCACGCACGCACGCACGCACACACACACACACACACACACACACACACACACACACACACACACACTTTTCGTCACAAATTGTTTTGTGATACACAATTTTTTACTTGGACCGACATTGAGTTCGCCAATATTGTTTATGGGATGGTTTTTCCAGAATCTCGTAATATTTACTATCCAAAGTGTTGATTACATTGGTGAATAAATATTTAACCAAACATTCTAGCATCTCGCAACAATTAGACTGTTTATTTACAAGAATACTTTTATATTTACAACATTCTAAAAACTAGTTAAAACTAATGCAATCATTTACCAATTTATAAAGAAATAAATATGAAAACAATTTTTATTCATCAATTTATAAAAAGTTGCTAAAATATGTAAACCAACTATAATGAAATCCTTATTATTTACCATTTTATAAAGTTCAAATTAATTGGGAATTAGCCGATGTTTTGACAACCATTCCAATAAACAATAAACAGTGTAAATAAGCAATATAATAGTGTGTTACTCCCTTTGCATTACCGTTTAATGTATGTTCCCTAATCGACGTTAAGGAACGTGATTCTCGCTCCCTGATACATCCCTTTTATCCCCAACCCCTTTCTCATTCTCTTTCTTCCGGTATCTAATAAATGCCGATCACGTTTCGTGTCGGCTCTCTCAAATATGAGTCTGTCCTGTTTTCCCTGACGTAATGTAAAATGGTGGCAGCGAGGAAGTAATTCACACGCTTTACAACCCTGCAAATGAGGACTGATACCAACAAAAAAGGCCGTCCTACTTAAACTGTTTTAGTGGCGTCCGGCATTTGGAATGACGATAACACAGCAAAAAAAAAAAAAAGAAAAAAAAGTGACCACGTGCGTGAAATGGCGGAAGGATTCCAGTAAAACATATCGCCACCGAGCAAGCTGGATGCTAAAAAAACTAATGCTTCCGACGGATGGAAGCTCTGGAAACAGATGTGGAATAATTACAACACCATGATCAAACTTCGCGAACAAAATAAGGAATACCAAACGGAACTATTTCTTCACGCTATCGGACCAGACGCGTTGATAGTTTACAATAAATTGGCAACAGTTTTCAATTCGCTTCAACAGAAAACAAAGATGATGTGGACACGGTAATAGCCAAGTTTGACCAACGAGACGTATGAACGATATATTTTCAACAAAAGTGACCAGGAACAAGGCGAGAGCATTGATTCTAACTACGCTTCGTAACCTAGCGGGGTCTTGTAAATTTTGTGAATGTTTATTACGCGATTCTTTGCTACGCGACCGCATAGTGCTGGGTGTCAGAGACAACCAATCACGCAAAAGAATGCTACAATTTCCAACACTAACTCTCAGACAATGTATCGATATATGCCGAAGTTGTGAAGCTACGACTACACAGTTGAAAGCTGTGGAAGACTAGAACGAGTTGGCAAGACACACGGAAAGCGGAAAGAATCATGTCCCGTGTGGAGACAAAAATGTAAATTTTGCAACATTAGAAAGCATTTTGCACTGAAATGTCCGAGGAAGTATTCTATAGGGAAACAGAGGATAAAACTAAGCATAAAATTAACTTTGTTTTTTTTTTTTAAATTCTTTAAATGACACTGAATGTGAATGTGTTACTGTTATGTGTAAACTCCGAGAGAGAGCAACCAGATAAGTTTATCTATGCAAATAGGATGCTAGAAAAAAGAAAGGTGAAGTTCCAAGTGGACTGTGGGGTTACGATCAATGTAATCCTACAGACATATGTGCGTAATACCTACCTGCAACCGTCTACCATGAAACTCAAAATGTGGGACGGGACGGAACTAGCGTCCATTGGAAAATGCCGAATTGTCTTGCGCAACCTCAAAAATATTCAGCAGAATTCACTGTAGCCGAGAAGAGTCTGACCCCTTTGTCAGGAAAGCGCGAGGGAGAACCAATGAACCTAAAAACTGTGCACTACGATAACATTACTAATGTTAGTTCAGTACTAGAGTGTAAGCAGCGATTAACGGATTATTCAGATGTCTTCAACGGTGAACTAGGATCATGACCTGGGTAGGTTTGTCTACAAGTTGATGGAACTGTCACATCGCATACTACAGCAGCAGGATGCATGTCAGTTTCCATGATCCCTGAAGTTAAAAAAAAGACACTAATGCCACACACCCTATTTGATCGTCCGTGGCAGAAGGTTGGTGTTGACCTATTTGAATTTGACAGCATCGAGTACCTTGTAATTATCGACTATTTTTCGAATTTCTGGGAAATAGATCAACTTGAGGACAACCTCACCCGTCATCTGCAAATTGAAGATACGCTTTGCAAGATATGTGATTCCATGTCAGTTGATTTCCAACGCAGGACCATAGTTTACGTCTTCATCCTTCAAGAACTTGAAAAATGGGATTTTGAACACCTCATGAAGACCAGACATACAGTTACCACCTTCCACAGGCTTGGGAAAGATTTCTCCTTCAAGGAGCGGTTAAATAACTTTGTTAGAATTGGGGGATAATTCTGGGGTGATATTAAGGATGACCACTGGAATTTTGTCTGGGCCAGTGGCTTTTTTTCGGATTAAGACTTCTCTTACTTAAATGGATAGGTTACTGTGACTGTGCTCAGTGAAGCATAGATCAAGGCGAAGAGTTTGTCTTGTCTGTCGAGGAGGATATGAATAACATTTGCCTCTGTTCATAATTTGGTTGGTAATCTTCCAGAATTCACGAGAGATCCAATTTGTTTCTTTTCAACCTTGTCCTAGAAAACTTGTGCGTAGCTGTACTTGGCGTTTTCCAGAATTTTCTTATAGTGATTACCGGCGGTTCTGAACGAAGTAAGCGCCAACTTACAACGTTCCTTGCGAAATATATTGAAGTGGTGGTTCCGGTGAGTTATGGCTGCAGTACATTCAGGGGTAACCAGGGCTGACTGTTTGTTTTTTGCAGGAATCTTTTTGAATATAAAGCACTCCATTTCAGAAAGGATCCATTCGGAAATTAGAGTAGCATGTTTGAAGAAGGATGGGAGCGAAGCTTCCGTCATATAAGACCGAAAACTGTCCCAGTTTGCCTTCGCATAGAGAAAAATCGTTCTACGGAACGATAATCAGGACATATCATTAGTTTGGAATCAATATGGCTACTGAATAGGGAATTGTCTGACGTGCCTATGGGGGTGGGGGTAAAACTTTTGCTGAACATTTTTCAGAGCAGGATGCTACAAAAAGTTCGAGGAAGTTCGCCCGCTGTCCTGTCATGTCCGAGACTCGGGTGGGTTCTTCAATGATCAGAGTTAGTTCATAAGGCGATCGAGTAGTCTTAGCAATATCTGCCTTCCTTATCGGTTTTCTTCGAGTGGACTAAACACTATTTGCGGTGAATATTTAAGTCACTGTATATGTTAAAGTTCACCGAGGTAAATTCAATGAGGATATTGTCAATCCTCTCTGATATTCGATCGAAGATTACCGACCCTTCATCCTAAGGGCGACACAGAGCAAAGACGAATGTGGCACTATGGATAAGTGCCACCCGGAAGCACATATACGAGATATCAGGGTCCTCGTTCTTCTGTGTCCCTACCACATGTAGGTACCGTACCCGTGGCGATTTAGGTGGTCGTATTTTGTTATAATTGGTCAGTGGTTTGGGATTTTGAGCTCCTGTAATGTGATTGAGGCATTGATAGTGTTTCAGATAGGAATGGGTGGTCAAGTTTACACTGAAGCAGATGGAGTTCCACTTCTGGAATGTTGGAACGTAGACCCTTTACATTGGTGTAGGAAATAGTATACCTGGGGTTTACTTTTTTGTTTTGAAGTTGGGTTTGCTAGTTTTGTTCGTTTTCAATTTTATTGCTTTTATGTTTCTTTTAGTTGATTTGGTGGATGACTAGCAGGCAGTAAGACAGACACCTATTGGAGATGCATGTATAAAATAACCTGGGTTGACTCGCCCGGAGATACTGTCGTAACAATACCCATCATCATGGCATCGAGAGGCCCCGCCGGAGACTATTACATGGTCCAGAAACTATTCACAAAATGGCAGTACAATAGACCCAATATTATACACCGGCTGATAGGATAGTCTCTTTTGAAGTTGCTCGAAGGTTCGGATCCCTGAATATCAAGCAGATAACGCCAAAACCCAGAAAATGTTTACCTCCAGAACCATCAATGAGGGACAAATAACCCAGAAAATAATTTGTTAATCATTTCGCCTAAATCAAGGTGATAAAGCCACTGAGATGCAAGGAGTTACTGAGAGTAAAAGAAATGAGGAGAGAGGACAATAAAAGAAAGGGATTCAAATAGACAGAAAATGATGATTGACGTTATTTTTAAATTTTTGAATATCATAGATGACAGGAAGCAAGAAGCCGGAAGAAGGGACATTTGACAATGTGTGAGAGAAGAAACCATTAGAATAGGACTTACATTTTTTTTAATCATTTCAATCCAGGCAAAGTAATAGAGTCATTAAGACACAAAGGGTTACTAAAAAAATAAGAATAAGAAGAAAAAAAACATTATTAAGGAGGGAGAACAATAAAAGAAGAGGACTCAAGAAGACAGTAGATATCGACTGACATTGCATTTAAATTTTTGAAGTTCCACTAGTGAGAAGTGCATGAGAAAAAGAAACTGTTAATATAGAATTTACGGTTAGATCTTAGCGAATTCAAAGACTTATTAGAATAGAACTTATTTATTAGAAATATTTCAAATGACAATCATTGAAGACTAGATCAGTTGATAAACATCAATATTAGAATTCAATTGTATGAACACATTTTTAAGATAACTTCGTTTATGTTTTTTTTTCTATCTCGGATCAGAATATAGTATATGTCTAATCCCCAGGCTTTCTGAGTTTAAATCAACTATGCTACATATTAAGCAAGAAGAGAGAGAGAGGAGGAAAGGAGAGAGAGAGAGAGAGTGAATGAGAGAGAGAAAGAGGGAGAAAGAGAGAGAGAAGAGGGCATGAAGGAGAAAATGAGAAAGAAAAAGATGAAAAGAAACCAAGGTAAAAGGTATCTACACTCAAATTCTCACATGTTCACATATGAACGTTGAGCAATGCCTTCTGTCACCATAAACGGAATATCTCATTACTACGAAGGAGAGATCGGCTTGTGTGATCGATAAATATATATAAAGTCACAAAGTGTTTCATTTATAAGAGAGTTCTCTCTTTGGGGCCAATTAACAAAATAAATAAATAAATATGATAGAATAAAACTTTAGTACTCAGTGCTGTTGTAAAATCAAGTACTGGCGGGAACATACTAAATTTACGTGTTAAATTTAAATGCTAGAGCAGTGAACTGACAGATTTAAAATAATCTACATTATTCAGAAAAGAAAATTGATTTTAAACTCGGACAAATAACAAATAGTTTTTCTATCAGTAAGGTTATCAACATGAAGCTAGAGAAATATATTGTCCAAGATAAGCGATTACTGTTTTTTTACAGTGATGTCCACCCTGTACAAGGCCCGGGTAGAGGTTTACAGCGTAAGAAGGACAGTTTATGCGGATATGTGGGGATGATAATGGTAAACTCTAGACTTGAACAGGTTAAGTCTGTAATGATCGGGAAACATCCTCTTGGGAGTCAGTTCCACAGGAAAGTGGTTCGATGGAAGAAGCTGCTCGAGTGGAACTTACTTCTCACTGATGGAATACGGAGGTGATGGGGGGGTTCGATACAATGTGCGTAGTATAGCAGGTCCTAACCATGAAGATTAGAAATGGTAGAAATAAGGAATGGAGTTTTCCCTGGAAGTAGTGATAGAACAGTGAGAGGCTTGTGATATCTCATCTGTGATAGAAAGGTTGCAACGAGGGGGGCGGGTGATAATTTGTCACCCATAAGGACGCGGTGACGTGTTTGGACTCTATCGAGAGTGGAAATTGAGGAGTGGGCAGCTCCTGCCCATATAAGACATTAGTAATCCATTTTAGGCCTGATTTGACTAATAGCATAAGGAGTCAGGTATTTTAATCGGTACAGAGAACTGGACATTTTTCCTGCATCTTTTTATGACGTGTTTTTCAACAAAAAATCGAAAATTGCTTTTTTTCACTGCAAATTATTCATTATATCATATCCAAGTATTTTACAAAGATTAGAGTTGATTACACAATATTTGAAGCTCAATTTAGGTTTATAGTTCGTAATCATGCATTGAGTTAAGGTAACATATTTGTCTGCGGAATTATTGTCACATAATTAAAGTGAAATCATTAAGTTTTTTTGTTAAAAAAGCATTTTATTTTTGGTCGTATATTAATTTAAAATATTCCTTTTTTACAGGCTTTATTTTTGATATGGAATAAGGTGATTCTAAATTTCAGAATTTTGCTATTGCCCATCAAAATGATTGAAAGAAAGCGATCTAAAAACAACAATGGAAAAGAGAGGTAACAAAGCGTAAATGAAATAGTTCCAGTTTGTTCAACTTTGGAAACTTAGCATTGCAGCCAAAGTATTCGAAAATGTTGTCAATAACAAAGGAGAAAATGAAAAATATCTAACAACAAATCGCATGTAGCATCAAACTTTATATTATTTTCATTTATTTTTCATAATACATTTATTTGTCGAATTGTCAACAATGTTTCCGTAATTATTCATATTTCCTGTAATAAATTCTTAATAAATATTATTATTGTTATTATTTTACTTAAGTGTAAGGTAGTCCTACATTTACAATTCCTTACGACTAACCATCAAAAGAAATGTTGCAAAACTGCCTAAAACCTTTAAGCGCGTAATGTCTCAAAATTATCAAATGTGGAATACGCCTCTCATCCGCGAACGCGTCATATACGAGTTCCACTTGAAGTCTGGGTTGGGTTTAAGGCCCAATATTCGCTCAAGACACAAGGCCTCGCTGAGGGAACAGCTATTCATCGTGATTGGCGAGAGTTCCGGGTCCGATCAGCGATGATGGAATGTAACTAGTTTGGTTTTCGAGGCATTAAATGTAAGTAGACAGTTTTTCCCCAATTGAGATGTTAGAGCTAGATCAGAGGAGAGATCAGCTGCCAAGTCTCTGGTCATCTAGACTTTGGGAGGTGCACCCATATACCGTTGTATCATCAGCATAAATATTCACAAATGATCTGAGTATACTCTTAGGCATGTCATTTATTGTCATATAGGGCATAAATGAATGGAATCGTTCGTTTATGTAAATAAGCGGAGTTGAGCAGAGTTAGCATTGTCAATTGCTAAGTGTGCCTTCGTGTAGTAAAACCTTCGAGAGAAGTAAATGTCACTTTTTCTCCACGTATTCTTCCTTTGTGTTATTTTTGTACTCGCTGTGCTTGTTTTTTTCTTGTCATGTGAGCTTTTTCTTCGTCATTGAACCCGAGGAGGGAACCTCTCCACTAAGGCGGAACCCCTACCCCCCAGAATTTGGCCACTCGGCCATCAACGTCTGCATAGACGGTCGAAAGGCCCCAAAACTGCCAGACTATTACAAGGACCTGAGAGAAGAATAGATTGCCTTCATCTCAGGTTACGAACTTTTGCCTATGCCTTCTGTTATGGAGGCAGTGACTCAAGGACTATCTCCTTATTGACAGCCGACATCAAAACGCGTAAGTTTATTGCTGTCATGAGGGAGGCAATGGAAGAGTCCCCAAAGGCCTTGAATATTGGGGGGGGGGGCAAAATGTTGGTTCGATGATCAAATGCCATGTAGGACATCCTACTGGTAACTGAAGAGGCATCAAAAACATTAGCAGGGAGTGTTCGCACCATGAAGACACTGTGACTCCAGACGGAATACATGGGTACTCGGAAGACCCGCATTACTTTACACGGGGTGCCCATGTACATCACTGAAGACCATTTAGGGGGGAGCTTCTTCTCGGAGTACGGTCCGATGGAGGGGGTGTCCACTATCAAAAGTAAGTCGGGCATTGGCACAGGTGGTTTTGAAATCATGGTGACATTTACCCGCCCCAAGTTTAATGAAGTCTCCAATGTGATCACCTGCGGCGGCCGAAACATCTTTTCCTCGTAGAGGGCCGCTGCCTCCACTCATGGGCATATGTGGCGGTGCCACTTATCACCTGGCAAAGTTGTGTGCGACCAGGAATCCGGCACCAGAGATGCAACCAACACCAAAGCAGACTAGGGTGGAAGCACCAAAGAAGGTCCTGGAGAATGGGCTGAGGGAATCCAAAGCATCAATTCTACCTCTCCAGCAGGATGTCACAGGAAAAGAAGCTACTAATCCAGCACAAAAGCAGGCAAAGCAGCAGCGGTCAAAACAACAGCAGCAGCAACAACAACAAAAGACACAGCAGCAGCAAGAGCAGCAGTCTAAGCCAGAGCGTCAACAGCAGCAGCGGCAGGAGCAACAGCGACAGGAGCAGCAGCAGCAGCAGAAGAAGAAGAAAAACAAGCAGCAGCAGTCAGAACACCAGCAGCAAGTGGCAGAGTTGACGCAATTTGGACCTCTACATGGAGGCGGAGGAAATGCCTCCGCCAAGATCCTCCTCATTGAATGAGGAGGAAGAGGAAGACGCCAAGTACACAAAAAGGGAGAGGAAAGCTGGTCGGAGTAGGGCGGAGCTGGTAGCTGCCAAGGCCCAATCCGCTCCTGCTTCGCTAGCAAGGACTGAAAAGGAAGCAACTCAAAGTAAGACAAGGAGTCTCTCTTCTTACCCTTCTAGGGTTCAGTCTTCTTCTTTTCCCTCCCTCAACCCATCTCAAGAAGGAAAAAAGGAGAGGAAAAAAAGGGAAAAAAGGAGTTGAAAATTGTGTGATTGATTGTGAGGCCCTCGAGAGGGACCTTTCTTCTCATTGAAAGGCCCTCTTGAGGCCTCTATTCAAGTGCATATCCGTTGACTTCCCGTCAACGGAGGATCCGAGAAACTTTCCCCGCGCCTCTGGTGTAATCACTCTCATTAGAAACACCGAGGGTAACCTCAAGGTCTGGGACCATCTTGCGGTCGAGCGCTTTTGCGCTGTCTCGGTCGGTTCGTCAGGGTTGTCCGTTGTCGCTCTTACTTTACGCTGTGGCATTGGAGCCCCTCATTCGCCGGCTAAGGAACAGGGCGTGCAGCCCGGATCTACGTGGAATCGCTGTTCCTGGAGGTCGAGCCAGGGCTTCCGCGTACGCCGATGACGTATCTATTTCGTGTGATTAACCGCGACAATTCATCTGGCTTGCAGTTAGATGCCTGGAAGTGAGTCGCGCTTCCGGGGCCCTTTAGTTGGACAGATCGATCCGTCCGCATTTTTAGAGTGTGGTTTGGGCCCGTCTCCAGCTGGAGAAGAATTGGTCCTAAGTACAGTCAAAGGTCGAAGCGACGGTTCAGACTTGGCTTCGACAACGGTTATCTGTGAAGGATAAGCCGGAGCCGTGTGCCACTTACGTCTTTCCAATTATCCTTTATCGATTGACTGTGCTTCCTCTCTGCAAGGACAGGAGAAAGGCGCTCGATCGCGTGTTGGCTTCCCTCTTGTGGGGTGGTCGCACGCATCTGGTCTGCAGAGAGACTGTTGCCCAACTTCCATGTCGTGGAGGATTGGGAATGCAGCACTTGATGTGCCATCGGAACGCTTCCAGGTTGGTGCCCCTACGCCGTGCGTTGTCGGAAGACTCGATTTTGGAAGGGAGTATTAAGGACTCCTTCCTTAGCATTATTATCTCTCTCCCCGTTTCCGAGGCTGGGCGCCATCGTAAGTCTCAGAATCAATCGAGATTCTTGTGAGAGTGTCGGGCGGCCTTAAGGGCTCTTCCTCAGTCCAGTGACTTTTCACGGCCTCGTAGGCTATTGTATCATGATCTAGTGGAGGGGGTCGCGACAAACCGCCTTTGTAGCCGGCTCAGCTTGTCGGCATCGGTTATGCTCTTTCTGATCTTGGCCGCCAGCGGCGATTTATGTCAAGCCTGAGTTTTCGCTTACCTGGGGATTTATTCGTAACGTGCTACCTCTGAATGACGTAGATGGAGCTGGGCAGATTTGCCCGACTGTCATCGGTGTGACCTTGGTTTAGAAGAAACAGCTTCGCATGCTTTCTATCATTGTGAAACAGATGGTGTTTCTCACGTTGCTAGCCGTAGCAAGAATGGTAGTATGGACGTCGCAAATGGAGGGAAACTTGCGATTGAACGTTATTCTCGTCAGAATCTGATTAGATTATTTGGGCATCAGCTGAGGATAAAGATCAGATCGGATAGAAAGCGAATGGTGGTATCTGTGGCCTGCTTCGTGTGAACGGGGCTAGCCTTGATTTTCTCTTTTAAGTCTCCTAAAGTACAACGGGACGGTTTCCTATGAGCCCTCCCCTGGTTAAGAGACGTTTCTTGTTTTCCTAGTTAATGTGAATAAGTGTTGTTCCTGGTCTGTTCCAGGTACTCACTCTTGTTATGATCCATATCGAGATTCCCAACCTTCCCAGTTTATTTTTGCCCCTTTTTTTCATCTAGGATGCGTCAGCCTTTGATTCCCCCATTCCGTCATCTTGTTTTTTTCCTTTTCCACTCCATTAGCGAGGGTGCTTCTTGATTCTTACCATCGGCAGAATCCAGCGGCCATTCTCATTATTTTAAGGGGTGGACGGGTCCTACTAACGTCTGTTTTGTTTTAGTTGGAATATTTTGTTGTATTTTTAGTTTCAATTTTGGGTCATCACCTCCCCCATCATTTCGTGCATCAAGAAATTTTTTTATATATTTTCATTAAAAAAAAATAGACTTTTGAACATTTGTAAATTTTTATGTCATGGAGTGTTTTGTATGGCCCCTGTCAATATGTGGTATTTTGGTATATGTAGGATTGAGTGGCGATAGACGAGTTCTTGTGCCGATTGAGTGCATTGTAATGAATGAATAGGTCGTGATTGTGATTAACTAGAACAAGGATAGTCAATGTAGACCAGCCTTTCCCTACTTCCCCTTCGGCCTTGTGCCACATTTTTTTGTATAATTACAAAGAATAAATATTCCTTCGTGTAGTAAACCTTTTATTTCATTACTTACCTACGAGTTTGTCTTCCTTATTTATTCCCCTCTTTTATCGCGAAAACTCAAGATACAACAGTTGGCGATAAGGATTTGAATACAGCACTTGGCGATGAACAATTAAAGTACCACATTTATGTAAAATAAAAAAAAAAGTGTTGGTCCGAGATGTAAGCCTTGGGGTAAACCTGCGTTGATTGCCAAAGCCCCGGAGGATTGACCGTTAATAACGAACCTTCCGTTCGGAAGGACTTTATTACTAAGAAGACTCTTCCAGTGATTCCATAGCTAGAGAGCTTGTGCAGCAATCCTTTGTGCTATCCCTTGTCAAATGCTTTTGAAATATCTAATGCCACGGTCCTTGAGATGTATTTGTTATCTAGTGCCTCACTGATTCTATGAGTAATGATAGTTAGGACATCAGCAGTAGATCGGGCCGATCAAAACCCATACTGCTTATCGCTCAAGAAGTTGTTCCTTGTTGATCACCTAAAAATAAGTTGATAGCCCCCAAAATATTGTTAAACGACATTAAAGAGACTGATGGGTCTACAGTACTGAGAGGGGTGGGATAGTGAACGCTCACCCGCGTTCTTAAAAACTGGGCAAATGCTTGACACATTCCACAGACTTAGGGAGGATTTCTTCTTCAAGTAGCGGTTAAAAATGATTTCGCTAAGATCGGAGAGAGTCCTGGATGAGCCAAAATGATGCATAAATCGTGATCAACTCATTCTAATGAGTAAATACCGTAGTGTGTTCTGAAAACTGATCAAAAAGGATTGTCGTGAAAAGTTCAATATGTGTTTGTTTTTTTCTTCAAGAAAGCGATTTTTCAAGGTATTATAAATTATAATGGATATTATTTTATATCGGGAATTAAAAAAAAGGTGTGTGCAATATGGACTTGCTTAAACGGTGCTCATGGTAGAGGAGGAGAGAAAATAAAGTTTAAAAATGTAAATGATTTTCGAATAGTTTTTTAGTGCTTTTAACCTGGTGTAATTACAGTTAATTATGACTATGAGTAAAAACCTGTATCACTATCAATTACGATTGAGTAGAGAGTTTTATACTCACTGGGTGCTCTGTACTTTCGGCCTTGTGTCACATCTAAAATGTGTTTTTAGTAAACCACTACAATATCTTAATTTCAGTTTTTTTTTAATTTACGTAAAAACACAAATTAGAATGTTAATAACAGAACTGAATGTCCTGCTTTGTAAGACAAATTTCAGAGCAGTATTGTTTTTCTTCATCGAATTTTAATTTGAAAAGAAGAACACGGAAGAGAAAAATTAAAGAAAAAAAAGAGAAAAAGAAAGAAGAAAAAGAATGAAGAGAAAAAGAAAGAAGAGAAAAAGAAATAGTAAAAATGGGGAGAAAGGAAGAAAAGAAATAAGAGAAAAAAAGAAAAAAGAAGAGGTGAAAGAAAGAGGAAAAAGAGAAAAAAAAGTGGAGAAAAAATAAAAGAAAAAAAGGAGGAAAGAAAAGAAAAGAAGAAAGAAAATTCTAACCAGAACTATAATAGTTTTATTGAGGAATAAACTTTTTTGGAATTGAACTTTAGAGTAACTTATTTATTTTCTCTTGCATAAAAAAAAGTTCATTATCACTGGTCAACCAATATTCAGCACACCTGTTGATTGCTGTGACACATCTTGCCTACATTACATTTTTTCCGTGTTTATTTTCCACTAAGCAAAGAAAAAGGTTAGCTCAAACTGTAACTGATGAACGTACTTGCTACTTGGCCTGGCATGCCATCACCACGAGTTTTGTAGTATTGGTATGTGTAGAAGATAAACTATAGTGCGTATGTATTTGAGAGATAGTGGAAGAGAGAAAATAGAAATAATAATAATAAAGAGCGAAAGAAGGAAGGAAGGAAGGAAGGAAAGAAGGACAGATTAAGAGTTGGTACTAGGGGCGCTTAACATTTTACAGACCTCAATCATAGCAGCAACAGTAGTCGAGAAGGTCGGAGTCATTTTCTTCATCGTCTTGAAACAAATGATTCTCTTCCTCAGCAACTGGTGCTTACATCAGCAGTATTAACAATAACAATA